GCAACCAAGCCAGACAAATTTGGGATCAAGTTCTGGATGGCCACGGACTTGGACACCAAATATGTCTGCAGTGCATCTCCTTACTTGGGAAAGGACCCCAGTCATCAGAAGGGAGAGAGGCTTTATATGGTCATGAAACTGATGGAGCCATTTTGAGATGATGGGAGAAATGTCACAATGGACAATTTCTTCACTGTCGCACAGACTGCTGCAGTGCAACACAACATTACTGGGCACGGTGAATAAAGTCTGGCGTGACCTTCCTCAACTTGCGCAGATGTATTCCGTAAGAGCAGCAACACGCAGGTGGCCAGTAGCGTACATGCCTTGTACAAAATGTACAAGGCATGTACAGGGTGGGCAGGCAAAAGAAGATTGTTTCTGAGTCTTCTAGCTCAGGAACTTCCTTGCCGATTCATGCAGCACAAGGAAATATTAGCACAGAGACAGGCTGATGAAGCTGCTGCAGCTGCTGTGCCAGGGACTGTAAAGTCAATGCAGTGCCAGGTGCAAGAGAGCTGGAAACAGGAATCACAGCAGGTTTACCTGTGCAACATGTCAGAAATTCACCTGTGCCAAATGCAGGGATGATGGACACTGGGTCTGCAAACGCTGTAAAGTTTGAAACACTTTGAAATAAAACAGACTTGTGTACCCATATATTGTGAATGTGTGTCTTTTGTATGTAGGTTGTAACACAGAGGTTTGGCCTGCCTTTGGATCTGAGTAAACAAATGCCAATGTTGCACAAACACACACATGCAGCAAATCTGCATTCATTAGTCCCACAAGTGGAAAATCTGCATTGTGTTACGAGTTCAAATATTGAGGGTGAGCACAAAGACAACAATGGTCCAGAAGAGCTTCGGTCAAACAATGATTTTAATGAACACAAGCGTGGGGAGATGAACACTGCCCCCAGACAGCATCGATCTCCGCCCAATGATACACAAGCAGTTGTTTTATACCATCGGGGTTTACTTTTATGACGCCCCCTCATGCGTCAAGCAGATACAATACATGCATAAGTTTCAAAACCACATATGTTCTGTTGACGACTTTTGACACATTTAAAAGGATATCTTCTCCATCTCGAGGCCAGGTGCTTCCTATTAATCTTCTAACTCTCGCTTATCTCCTGTAAAAAACTGTCCCTTAGGCAGACACAATTTTGCAGTCACAAGCTTTTGCAACTTATTATTTGAACTCTGACCTGGTGATGGTGGAGGAGTGTGCGAGGAGAAGGCTCCGTGTGATAAGATGGAGGTCCAGGTGTTGGAGTGAGACGAGAGGAGAGAAGCGGGAGAGGAAGATGAGGCATGGGGGAGGAAGACGGCGTCGATCAGCACTCCGTCTGAGAGAGCTGAGGGGACAGAGTGGTTCATTTACATTTGGAAAATCTGACCGTGTCTCAATAAGCTATCATGACAGTCACCATGGTTACCAGTGCGCTTATTAAAGTGTACCTCTCAGTCTCAATGTGTAGTAGCCATCGAGGGTGGAGTCAAACCTCTCAGGCGTCACCCGCCCTCCCATTGCCACCGCAGCCACCTGCTCCTCTCTGTGGGCGTGGTCATAACGCATCGGGAGCGTCTCCACAGCAACAGGTGTGTAGGAGCCATATGAGTTGTTTCTGTCTGACTAAGTGGGTTGGTATAAATGGACTCACTGTATTGGTGCATGGGTGTGGGGCGTGTCTCATGGGTGTGGTA